AAAAATATTGTAACAAAAATGCACAATAATAGATATTCTTGTTTTGACTATGACGTGGTGTGTGGCTTCAACTTCCTTGCTGAAGTTACGTTAACCACACAAATCTTCTCACATGATATATATGAACAAGGTTGAGGTATATTAAACAATTCCAAAATTAGTTTAACATAGTTAAAAACAATCCAAAATGGTTTGGAACAGTAAAAAAAAAATAACCAGAAAAAATAACAAAGTACACCAAAGAAAAAAAATAATAATTGCCATACATAAAAAAAAGAGTAACCTCTCATTTATTTTTTCTAAAAAATAGAAAAGTACACCGTAAAAAGAGAGAAAAACATCACTAATAAGTAAACTCACCTCTCTAATCTTTTCTATCTCCCATGACATAGAGTTACTCTTAGTCTCCATCAACTTTATGTCAGTCTCTACAGCAAGTTTGAATTATTTCCTTTTTTATTTTTTTATTATCAATCATCTGTTTCCTTTGGACTTCCTCCGATGGCTACGGACATTTCCATACTAGAGTAGATGGAATTTACTATTACCATTGATGCTTCCGCTATTTCTAGAAATAAGCCTCGATCTTTGTCTAGTAGGTAAGCTTTTCTTCTCTCCCGATGTTCACTTTGAACACCAAAAATACCTTCTCCTTTCTTCCTTCTCTCGAAGAAGAGAAAATGATTGAYATTTCCTTCGAGATAGAATCTGTTGGGGCGGTAGTGTGAGAGTTTGTGTTCCACAAACCTCTGCAGCGGCGGGAAACTAAAGTTAACATTGATGATCCAGTGGGAGGCTGCTAGATACCAATGCACTATGACTACTGTCGAATTTCTGCTACCATTGTGACCAGGTGGGTCATACTATAAAAGATTGTAAGGATGTTTCTAATCGTCCGATCCTAAACATTGGCTTCATTATGAGAAGGACGTCAATAGTGGCCATAATCGGATAAATAGGACGACACAAATTAGAATGGGAAAAGAGATGTGCTGAGGATAGGAAAACTCGCTGGAATCAGCAGCCGGAGTAGTTCCGTCTTCAGAAATGACAATCACAGTTTTTTCTCATGGAATGAATTTGGTGGTCTCCAATTTCAAGGGAAGAAATTTGCTCCTTCCTTACATGTCATGGTGGAGAATAAGACAACTGTGGAGGAAATTATTTCCTTTATAATTCTGGATAGTGGTGCCATGAAAGACAAGATTCATCTATTAATTGAGGAGTCTTCCCCGACAACATTGAATGTGGTTGATGATGTTATGACTTTGGAAAAAACATGTTTTGTGGGCCGAATTTTGTTCATTTTCCTGGTTTTTGAACATGCAGGCTATTTTATTGGCCAAGCGTGCCATTTTTGATAATTTATCTGTCCTTTAGGATAAATGTTTTTCTTCGTGGATTATGAATATGGTGCATAGTGACCACTTTTTTTATGTAACCTTTAATAGTTTGTTTCTTATTAATGCAGTTTTTCTTTGATAAGGCGAAAGATGGGTCATTGAGGAAGACATATAGTTTGTATGGTTTTCCACATACATTATAAGTATTTCAACTATTCATGTTTGCATTCTTATTATGTAATGTTCATGACTTGTCACATGGTTCGATTATTGATAAAAGGTGTGGGGGTACGAAACAATCGCTTATTTGACTAGGCATGTTGCCCATCCTATAAACCTGATGTTGTGCCACGTATTCTTAGGTGGAAGTGCAGCCATTCACCTGCATGGGTTATGACCAAGAGGGAGATCTTCCATCAACAACTGTAAGAGACCATCATTCTAAATGAAAATATAGTCGGGTTAGTTGTGCAGCATAATGTTGATGCAATAGAACTCGAGGCTAACGTCCATGTCAAAGAAACGAAGCGTGATGTAACCGATACCAACGAGCCCGATTATGAGGTGAGAGAGGAGATGAAGGAACCAGAGGCTCAAGAAGCTACGAGTGAGGTGAGAGATGAGACGAAGCAAATTGAGGCTTAGGAACGAGTGCGAAAGGTACCCGAGGCTCTGGTAGCAACGGGTGAGATCTTTGAAACATCAACACGTGAGGTAAATATGATTGTGTGTGTTATATTGTGTTTTCTTTACCGGGTTTTAACTAACCTGCTTTTAAGACCCACTAGTGGAGGAATTATAGGACCCATAATCAGAACAACCGGTTCAAGTCTAGTCATAATTGACTGACAACGCATATGACAAGACGCACCGGGATTCAGAGGATGTGCATGTTCTATCCCAGCCAACCGATCACCTTCTACCTCATCGAGGGGAATGGAAAAGGAAACTTGCATGGAAGCTTCACGACTCATTTGAAGTTAAGGTGAACAGTAAGCGAAAGAACGAACCTTTAGCCGAAATCCCGAAAGATCGTAACGACGTTGGTGACAACCGTTCAACACGAAAAACATGTTACGCATACCGAGGAAAGTAATGGTTTGCAACATTTTAACACCATATAAATGGGCCACGAGTGAGGTACAATCAGGTTCAATACCCTAAATACCATATTAGTCATTCATCCATTCATGTTCATACCCTAAATATGTGATTGATCTTTACAGGTTGTCGACTCATTGGCGATGTTCCTGTGTAAGAAGCTTGAACAACAACCAGACTTATGTCGTCATAAATTCACCACATACGACATAGTACTTGTGGTATGTGTCCTAAATGTAGATTTAGAGTATAGGGTTTAGTGGATAGCATTCAGTGGGGTGCTATGGTAAAAATAGATGATGTGCTTTTTCTGTCCTCAGTGACAGAATTTCCTTAAAAGAACTGATGGTGTGTATGCATCCATGGTATATGCTAATGTCATAGCTTCGAGGGTGGCGGTCTAGTACGATTGGGAGGGGAAAGTGAAGATTATGCTTAGTTACATAAATGGTACTCATACAGACTACTAGTTGCGGTGGTTGGACGTAGATGTCGTATATCTACCCTATAATATCGATGGAAACCATTAGATAATAGTTTACATCGACATTGATGAGGGTAAGCTTATCGTATGAAACTCATCCATGTCGATGCATGGATAGCAGCTTTGGAGGACGAGTTGAGGCCCATGCGCACTATAATCCTGGCTCTGTTATCCAGAGCCAATGTTCGATAAGTAGGCCGAATATACCACTTACACACCATGGCGCATCTGTAGAGTTGCACAACACCCCAGCATGAGGGAGATGAAGACTATGGTATTTTTTGTGTAAAGTACTATGAGTACGATGTAACTCGGTTTACTATGGATTCCTTAACGCAGGATAGGATGCCATTTTTAGGAGGCAATCCGCAAATCTATTTTTTGAGTAGTATTCTTGTAATACTTGAGCACAATATGTGTACAGTTTTAAATTAGTCGTGTAGCACCTTAACATAGAACATAATAGTACTATAATATTTTGAGTACAACTTTAATTAAATGTTACATTATAGGTTAGGCATCTTAAAATACTTAGTACATTATAGGTTACATTCGTTGTCCACTAATTTACTACAATTACCAATTTTATTGTTCTGCACAAGAAAAAAAAATCAGTCGAAAAAGCACGCTTAACTTTTGAGTTCTTATGATTGAGCTATTGAAAAGGAATGTGCACCTTGTTGGTATAAGTAGTGACTAAATTATTTTAAGTCTTTCTTAACAATACTTCCATGATTTCAGGTCCTTCTTATTCAAATGTGGTACCGGTTCAATATGTACCCCTCCTCTCTACTCAGGCATCACAACTAAAAAATATAAAAACTAAAGTAGAGTGAGATGTTAACCACAACAGTATAACCATATTAACCACAATAGTGTACAACAAAATATTAGCCATAAGAGAGTATGATAATAACCATACTCACTCGAAAATTTAATTTTAGAGAATGCAACCATATTAACCACAATAGTATAACAAAATATAACAAAATATACAAGTAGATGATCAAGTAGGCAACTAACTCTCCATATTTCTAAGTGGTTGTCGACACGTTTTCCTATATATTCGATGTTTCCATAATGACTGCATTTATGTACCTGGCAAGTCTCTCTAATTGAAGGTATTCGTAGCCCAACTAGTTAAACAATTTTTGGCAGCTCAACTTTGAAGTGGAGGAAGTCATTAGCTAGAACCAAATCTTCTTCATCCCCGAAAGGATAGACAAGTTCGACATACGTAGTAATTAGGATTTGAAGGCTATATGWGGGTCAACATATATAGAGTATACGTGTTTACGTTCTGATGTGTTGTCGCAACAATAGCATGAGAACATGAAAGCTCGTAGTAGTCGAATTGTTTGCATCCACAGGTCCTGATATTTCAATTTCCATGCACCTTTTTTAATCCATCGTACACCTTAAACTCGTGGAAATCAATAGGTGTGATGAAGTGTTTTGGAGAAAGGTTTTTCGCGATCCGCATCTTAGTCTCAGCGTAGTCATGAAGAATAGTTTCTTAACTAGATGTAGGGGTGTAAATTAGTCGATTTGGGTGGTACGATTTTTGGGCAAAACCGACCCGACCTTAAAATTGTTTACTTTCATTCAGGTCGGGTCGGGTTTCGATTTTTTTTCTTTCTCTCTAGGTTTTTCATTTCCAATAGAATCAACACCCTTCGATTTCAGAAGCAAAAAAACAAAAAAGACTAATATCTCAGAGGCTATATAGGAGATAGAAAATGAAGATTTTAAGAGATAGGTTTGTTTTGAGAAAATTTAGATTTTTCCTCTGTTTTCTCATAAGTCAAACGAGAGAGAAAGGAGTTCGGTACTATCCAACCCATAAATCAAATGGAAAAAAAAAGACCCTTCTCAACAAGTTGGCATGAGTTTGTCTAAGAGACTAGAGAGAGGTGGAGTGGTCGTCGTCGTTGCTGCCATGGGTTTTTGGGCCATTGGCATAGTTGGCATAGTCTTTGTCCAGGCATGTTCAAGAAGTGCAGTGACTAGTAAAGAACATGCATGGACAAAGACTATGTTCCAGACACGACAATATTTGATGTCATTTGGTCGTACCTTAATTTCGGTTGAAATGTACGTGTCCACTTTTCAAAATCGATTTCTTGTAAGTACGTCTAAACATCTAGAAATGCTCCAAGTTGGAAAAATAGTATTTGAACTATGATTTTAAGAATGTCTTTGCTGCCAGTATGAACATTTCATGCATGTCATCATTTTTGAACTTGTCATTCAAGTTCATGAAAAAGTGATGCATCTAAATACTGTGTGCAGCTTCAAGAAACACATCACTAACAGATTTCGTAATGGAAGCATGTCGGTTGGATACGAATAATAACTCATCAACCTCTCCAATACAACATTTTAACATATCAAAAAACCAAGTCCATGATTCATCACTTTCTTTATCGACAATTCCAAACGCAAAATGATAGATTTAATTGTTATTGTCGACAAAAAAAGCAAGAAAGATAACTGCTTTATACTTCCCCTTCATATATGCACCATCTATCACAAGTAATGGATGGATACAACTATAGAATCCTATAATACAACAACTCATGGCCATGAACGCGTACTTAAATACTTATCTTCGTGAAATTCCATTTGAAAAATAGTTTTTGCATTCACAGGCTTCCAAGCCTCTCCATACTTACATAATACAGTATATGAATCTTTTAGACCCATCAACAGATTCAAGGCTACATCTTTCGCACACCATGCTTTTTCATATTTGATATTGACCTCATAGTATTTTTGCATGTCATTAATAATGTCTCTCGGTCTATATTGACGGCTTACATCCTCAAAATTCGACTTAAATAACTGATCAACCATCAAACTTCTAGCTTGTCTGTGGTTAATGGTTGAGTAACTCAAGTGTACATTTGTGGACATTGCTATACTTTGAAATGATGAATGAGTCACAATTTTGGATCGTCTACAYGCATAGCCCACATTCATCGTGCATCAATACATGTGACGGTGTATAAAGTCTT